CAGAGAGGGGAGAGAACCAAACCCAAAAAAAAAAAAAAAAAAAAAAAAAAAAAAAAAAAAGTAATTGGATACCCAAAGAGATTTAGTGGAAAATGAAACGAAGCCTCCTGTGTTAACATTAAACCAAATGAAGAAGCACTTAGCGGGTTGTGGGGGGGATGAATTGGGAGATTGGGATTGACATATATACACTACTATGTGTATTGACATATATACACTACACTACTATGTATAAAATAGATAACTAATAAGAACCTGCTGTATAAAAAATAAATAAAATAAAATTCAAAACAAAAAGAAGCACTTAGTGAACATAACAAAAATAAAGGGGAAATTCGCCATTAAGGAATACAATTAGGGAAAATAACTCAAGGTAAAATAAAAACAGTATTATAAAACTTTGGAATTATCAAATCAATATATTTTTACCTAAATCTGTATGACAAAAACACTGTACTAACCAAGGCTTCTATCTAGTAAATTCTAGATCTGTGTTTGTCAAATGGTGATGGCAGGATAGTAGTTCTACCTCAGTTTGTTTCCCCTTGTGGGCTCTGGGCCAACCTCTCTCTCCCAATCTTTCTTCCTCTTATAATCTCCCAGTTCCTGAAGTACTCTCCCACCATAACTAAGAGAGGGAGAAAACAGGAAATCCATGGTGGTGCCAGATACACTGCAACATAGTAATGAATTGCCTTCTCCCATCTATCCTTGGAGAGCAATTATTTTAAGCTTGGATTTTGTGTGTGTATATCAAATAATTATGATTTAATTGTTACTAATATTTAGAGTATAAAAAAAGATGTCTTTCTGCATATCAAGAATTGATTACAGATCTTTGACTGCCAGAGAACTAGAGAGTTCCAGAAAACTCAGGAGGCAAAAAGAAGGTCTAGAAAACATGTACAAGGCACAGGTCAGCTAGGATTTTAAAAGAAGAAATATAATTTATTTTCATAGAAGTGAGGCACCTGGACATACCTCCCAAGGTAATCAGGAAAGTACAGCCAATAAATCAGATTGGACAACAGTAGAAATGGGCAAGAAACAGATAAGCTGCTCAAGAAGACAGAATAAACATGTTCTATCTGGTCAAGGTTAGATGATTTGAAGTGAAAAGAGAATGTATACTTGCAAAAGGCCCAGAAAGTCTTCACCCTATTCTCATCAGACGTATGCTTCAGAGAGTAATGCCAAGACAATTTCTCTTAAGCTGGCAAAACTGAATTCTGTACCTATTTTATGTGTAGTTATTTGTCCATATGTAAGAAGTACTGCAATTCTTTCTAATCACCTGTTGCTGTATTTAGGTAGAATGATCCACTGTGGGGGCTTCTCAACTTGAGGGAATGTCAGAATCACTAGGAAGGCTTGTTAACTGGCAGATTGCTGGGCCCTACACTTCCAGAGTTTCTGAATCAGTAGGTCTGGGATGGGGCCTAAGAATTTGCATTTCTAACAAATTCCCAAGTGATGCTGCTAGTCTAAGGACCACACTTCGAGAACCACTGATACTATCTGGATGAATTCTTTGAGGGTGATCACAGGAGATGAGGTCAAGGTAGCAAGTCCTGGTGAAACAGCACTGTCAACAGGGACTTGCCAAGCTCCCATAAGCACTCTGTCCCTGCCATCTGATCTCACAGACACTTGATAGTGACCTAATTCCACAGTACTCCTGCAGCCCCTGCACACCATCCTCTCTTTTGTCAAGTTTCCCAGAGTTGTCCTTCCCTGGCAGACGCCACGAATCCTCACAGCAACAGTACTCTTCCCCAGGAACATATTTTTTGTAGGTTTGGGTCTCCCCATGATAACCTACTTGATTCTACAAGTCTTAGAATTCACCTCAGTTTCTTCTGTCCTTTTCTTTTTATTCTTTACACCAAATAAAACCTCAATTTTGATGATAGAAAAATAATAGACTGACATGATTTGGACAAAATGAGGTATCAGGAGGAATGAAATACGTGACTCCTCACCTCCCACCTCAAATGAAAAGTAGGAGAAAATCCCATGGGTTGTTAGTGATAATATTTCAAAACAAATTACACTGACTGTAAATACAAGAGAGTTTTAGCACACTGTATATATACCTAGGTATGTAGTAGGAAATGGTGACAGATGGTACCTGTTTTGGGTCTCAGATTGTGACATATTTTAATGAACATTAAATTCTTATTCACTGCCTGAGTCAGCAGGGGAATTTTACCTCAAATTCTAGACCAGCTGTCAGGTTTTGTTAATTGGTTTAAACTATCAAATGGTAAGACTTATACAAAACATATTTTCATTTTGTTCACAAGTAAGGTGACAGAATTGGAATTTTAATCATATTCGAAAATTACTAAGACTTTGCTAAGAGAGCATTTTCATGAAACTAAACCATGATTTGCTGATTATAGGCACTAATTTTTATTTTTTTTTTTGCGGTACGCGGGCCTCTGACTGTTGTGGCTTCTCCCATTGCGGAGCACAGGCTCCGGACGCACAGGCTCAGCAGCCGTGGCTCACGGGCCTACCGCTCCACGGCATGTGGGATCCTCCCGGACCGAGGCACGAACCCGTGTCCCCTGCATCGGCAGGCGGACTCTCAACCACTGGGCCACCAGGGAAGCCCTAGTAACGACTTTTACTTACAAAAATGTCAACACAGTAGCACATGATTGTTTGAAACAAATTTTTTCAACTGCAGTTATTTTCTGTCAAGGAATCAAATGTGATGAGGAGTTCTGAAATAGCTTAAAAGTCTTGGACATGGGTCTAGATATCTTGGTGCTCATTTTAACTCTGCCACTAATCTTCTGTGATACTGTATCTGTGCCATGTGGTTTCTCCTGAGCCTCAATTTCCTCTTCTAATATAACCTAGTCTGTCTCCTCGTTTTCATGCCCACTGCTCCTTAGTTCAGTTCTTCTAATTGGCCTACTTACTACTAAAAGTCTTACTACCAAAGAGCATTCCAAAAATGTAAACATGATTGTTATTCAACTCCCAATGGCTCCCCACTAGTTGAAGAACAAAAT